GTTGGTGTGTCTGTCTGTGTCAGAGTGTTGGTGTGTCTGTGTGTCTCTCTGTGTCAGGGTGTTGGTGTGTCTGTGTGTCTGTCTGTGTGAGAGTGTTGGTGTGTCTGTGTGTCTGTCTGTGTCAGAGTGTTGGTGTGTCTGTCTGTGTCAGAGTGTTGGTGTGTCTGTGTGTCTCTCTGTGTCAGAGTGTTGGTGTGTCTGTCTGTGTCAGAGTGTTGGTGTGTCTGTGTGTCTCTCTGTGTCAGGGTGTTGGTGTGTCTGTGTGTCTGTCTGTGTCAGAGTGTTGGTGTATCTGTGTGTCTGTCTGTGTCAGAGTGTTGGTGTGTCTGTGTGTCTGTGTCAGAGTGTTGGTGTGTCTGTGTGTCTGTCTGTGTCAGGGCGTTGGTGTGTCTGTGTGTCTATCTGTGTGAGAGTGTTGGTGTGTCTGTGTGTCTGTCTGTGTCAGAGTGTTGGTGTGTCTGTGTGTCTGTCTGTGTCAGGGTGTTGGTGTGTCTGTGTGTCTGTCTGTCAGAGTGTTGGTGTGTCTGTGTGTCTATCTGTGTCAGAGTGTTGGTGTGTCTGTGTGTTTGTCTGTGTCAGCGCGTTGGTGTGTCTGTGTGTCTGTCTGTGTCAGGGTGTTGGTATGTCTGTGTGTCTGTCTGTGTCAGGGTGTTGGTGTGTCTGTGTGTCTGTCTGTGTCAGAGTGTTGGTGTGTCTGTGTGTCTGTCTGTGTCAGAGTGTTGGTGTGTCTGTGTGTCTCTCCGTGTCAGGGTGTTGGTGTGTCTGTGTGTCTGTCTGTGTCAGAGTGTTGGTGTGTCTGTGTGTCTGTCTGTGTCAGAGTGTTGGTGTGTCTGTCTGTGTCTATATATGTCAGAGGTTGGTGTGTCTGTGTGTCTGTCTGTGTTAGAGTGTTGGTGTGTCTGTGTGTCTGTCTGTGTCAGAGTGTTCGTGTGTCTGTGTGTCTCTCTTTGGATCTGTCTGTCTGTGGGTCTGCGTGTGTGCTTGACGTCAGTCTGGCTTGGTATAGATATGCCGGTGTGTCTGTGTGTCTGTCGATGTTTGTCTTTGCCTGTCGGTGTGTCTGTGTGTTTGTCTTCACCCGAGTCTGCCTGCCTCCCTGCCTGTGTGCCAGTTTCTGTTGTGGCGTTCTCTCTTACCTCCCTCTCCATCCCTCGCCCATGTACATGCCCCCTCTCTCTCTCTAAACTAAAACTATTTATTTCGATTTTACCAGGTAAGGCCCACTGATCTGTACAGCTCTTTTTCAGAAGCGACCTCGCCCACAAATGATAGCTCAACGAAGTGGTTTATCATGATGTGGACATTTACACCAGCCAAATACTTTGAACGCGTGTCGATTATAAATGCGGAGGGGGGAAAACCGGAGGATCCGGAGAAAAATCTACGCGAGATCGTACCCACGACCTCCTCCATACCGGGAAAGGTTGTTAACATCTCACCATAAAAAGGCTGATTGACTGAACGAACTACGTTCAGCACGCCTGACTCTCCCTGCTGATGAGGCTGATGGACTGAACGAGCACTACATTTCCATGGGCCTCCAAATACACAGCAGGCGGTCGGGGCCGGTATCGAAACCCACGACCTCCTGCATACCGGGCGAGGTGGTCAACATCTCACCACCATCAATGCCCTCTCCGTCTCTACGTGTTGCGGCGAAACGCGGCACAAAGGCACCGCAAACGGGCAGGCTGGGCAGTTGTGGGGGGGCAGAGGTGGGGGGGGCTGGGGTGGAGGAGGGGCGGAGGGGGGGTGGAGGAGGGGGCGGAGGAGAGGGAGGGGAGGGAGGTTTTCAAACCCTGGAGACTAAGAGGGAGGAGTTGTCACGCCTTCGTTAACATGAATAGTGGGGGGGGGGGGGGGGTCAGCCGGAACAGAGGAGGATACGGGAGGGGGGAGCTGAAGGGGGATGGGGGGGGGGGGCCTTGCCTCGACTTCAAAAACACTCGGCCCCCACCACCAAGACCCGTGGGAGCATCTGAGATGAGATGAGAGTGATGACGATGGTGACGACGACGACGCTCATGAGATTGTGAATTGATGAGATGTTGTACTTACAGTGATTTACGGCGGTTGTTGGGACGTGTCATTCATTGTGGGTCGTCTACCCAGAGAGATGGAGCGATGCTATGAACGCGCGTGCAAGCGCTGCGTGGACGATTATCCTCGCAGGGCCGTGGATTGATCGTGGCTGGCGATTATAAAAGTTGCATCGTAAATGTCTGTAGCCTCTGGCAATGATTTAATTTTTTGATCGAGAGCCCTTTTACGGAGGGCCATCTCAGAGCTCTTGGCATGCAATGGGCGTCTTACGTCTCTCAACACATGTGTGAAGGGGGCACCCCCGGTGGCAGCTGTCCCGGTGTGACACAGGGTGACTCAGCACTCGGTCTGCAAGCGGGCATCAGTCTGCCAGTCTGGGGGGCGATAAGTGTTGCTGTGATGATGATTGTTGTTATGATGATTGTTGCTCTATGAGATCTCTATTACCAGTGGCAAAATATAGTAGTAGGTTTTTACCCTTTTAAACTGGTACAAAACTGACACCTTTATTCAAGGCATCATGTTTGCAACAACCACAACACAAGTAGTCAAAAAAGCAAACAAAAAGAAGCAACTCTGATAATGATAATAATATGCACTGTCCTTGAAGTTGATTGGACAGTGCATATTATTATCATTATCAGAGTTGCTTCTTTTTGTTTGCTTTTTTGACTACTTGTGTTGTGGTTGTTGCAAACATGATGCCTTGAATAAAGGTGTCAGTTTTGTACCAGTTTAAAAGGGTAAAAACCTACTACTATGATTGTTGCTATGAAGATGAGTGTTGATGATTGTTGCTATGATGATGATTGTTGATGATTGTTGCTATGGTGATTGTTGTTATGATGATTATTGCTATGATGATGATTGTTGATGATTGTTGCTATGATGATGGCTGTTGCTATGGTGATTGTTGTTATGATGATTGTTGCTATGATGATGATTGTTGATGACTGTTGCTATGATGATGATTGTTGCTTTGGTGATTGTTGATGATTGTTGCTAAGATTCTTTTTGGTTCTTTCGGTAAAGTCACGTAGGTAGAAAAATAATAGATCACGACGTTTCGATCGCCACACAAGCAACCGTCTTCACCTGAAGACTATAGTCTCTCCTCCGCTTGCGTGGCGATCGAAACGTCGTGATCTATTTATTTTATTTTATACCTACGTGACGAAAGCTTCAAATCAGATTGTTGCTATGATGATGATCGCTGATGATTGTTGCTATGATGATGATCGTTGATTATTGTTGCTACGACGATGATGATTATTGCTGTGTGCAATCCCAATTGAGTAATTAAAAATTGTGGCCGATTCGGACCCGAACGCCGGTACACAGCAAGCTTCTCTTGCACAACGACGTCACGAGATCTTTCACGCCCACACTGTGAAGCTGACGGCATGCAATGTGTGGTGGGTTCACCCGCAGTAATAACCAGGGCGGCCAGCTGGATTCGAACCACAATTAGAATTAACATGCGTTAAGATTATTTTGATTATTTTGCTGCTATAAACGTCCACGTGATAAGCCACTGTGTCGTCTTTGGCCAGGTCGCTTCTGAAAAAGAAGCTAATAGCTCAGTGGGCCTTACCTGGTCAGATAGAAACAATAGTTTAGTTTTATTTGTATTTATTTAAGTGATTTTATTACCTTCTTGGTTCTTTCGGTAAAGTCACGTAGAAGGGAAGTAATAAAATAATAAAAATAAAACATAATAATTTTATTATGGTTCTTTCGGTGAAGTCACGTAGAAGGGAAGTAATACAAAATAAAAATAAAACATAATAATTTTTATTATGTTTATAATAATTTTATTATGTTTGATTTTTATTATTTTATTACTTCCCTTCTACTTGACTTTACCGAAAGAACCAAGAAGATGAATCCCTGCAGTCACGAAAGCTTTAAATCGTGATTTTCTTACCTTTCCTATAACTGGACATTTGCCAAAAAGAGCTTCATAGCTCATCGGATTCCTCCTCCAGGATAGATACACATTCCGATTCTGATTGTGAACCGCGAACCTCTGCGACAAGCGGCTGGTTGACATCACCACCAGTGGGAAAGCGTCTGATCTCATCAGATCTCGAAAGCGAAGCATGATTTTGAAGCCCGGTTTGCACTCGGGATGGGCAGCAAGAGCCGATGTTGTGCTGCACTGATATGCTCCCATGTGGTGTGTTAAGCTCAAACTCACAACAACCCCCCCCATGACGGACACAGCATCGGGAGGTCCTTCATCCGGCAGTGGATTGAGAGGAATCTAAGTTTATCGTTATTTATTATGATGAATACGACGACTATTTTAACCGTAAGAAAACTATTGATGATAATGTATATTTCGATTGAAAGCTTTCGTGACTGCAGGGATTCATATTCTTGGTTCTTTCGGTAAAGTCATCACGTAGAAGGGAAATACTAAAACAATAAAAATAAAACTATAAAATTCTAACGACGTTTCGACTGCAACACAAGCAATCATTATCAGGTGTGAAAACCACAACAAGATTTTTTTCGAAAAAATTACAAAGACAAAACCTCTTGCGCAAAGACACCCGAGTATTATTTATGTTTTGTTGTAAAATAACAAATTAAGACAATTTTGAGTTTTGCCACAGCTGTCATTTACATCGAACTGAATGACAGTGCTTCTAGTACACTCGTTTTTTAAAGCGCGCCGCAGTGGTAAGATGTTAACTACCTCGCCTGGTATACAGGAGGTCGTGGGGTCAATCCTGACCCTGACGCCTGCTGTATATTTGGAGTTTGCATGGCCACGTGGATTCTTCTCCAGGTCCTCTGGTTTTTCCCTCCACATTTAGAAACGTGCGTTCACAGTATTTGGCTGCTGCAAGGATGAGCGGAGCTTGCGTGACGCTTTATGCTCCTTGACGATGATGATGACGATGATGGTGTCTATGCTAAATGATCTCTTTCCATTTCTTCCTCTGAAGGACACTTTTTGGGGAAGAATTCCATTATCGATGTTTTGCGGCGAGAAGGTTTCCACGTGACACACACCCCTGCCAGCCAGCCCGTCGGAAGGTAAACTCCGCGTCTGCCCATCGTTTTACATTTCAGGGCTGCAACTGCTCGCTCACGCCACTGCTGCCTGAAGGGCCTCCACTCCAGCGAGCTCTCGAGATTCTCTCTACACGATATTTGGCTGAATATTCCACGTTGGGCAGGGGTTTTGGAAGAGGCCGGAATACCCACTCTTCACGCCAAAACGTTCATGACCTGCAAAATTGACAAACCGTGGCGTAACCATGTGTACAGCCGGGTGGACAGAGGCGGGCCGGGCGATTTAGGAAACTTGCACCGTTGTTCCAATTGCCTCGTCAAGAGATACAATTCAATGGCGTGACCTCTGCATTTGACGTCTTTGGAAAATAGCCTGACAGCTCATCGGATTCCTCCAGGATAAATAAAGACTCTGATTCTGGATCGCAAGTTCAGTGTGGGGCATCCCCCAGCACCTGTATCGAGTGTAGACGCCGGAGAATCACGCCCCGATTGAGGCCTCAGGTCGATCTATGGGTCTATGGGTCTCCGTGAGTCCACGGCTGGGGTGGCAGCACCTGTAGCGGATCAAGAGCCAAGCGACGTGAGTTCCACGCTGTCGAGTTTGCCCCAACCAGGCGAGGAGGGCCCAAGAGGCCGCCATTGGGGCCTTGCTGGCGAGAGTGACCCGGGGCCGTTACTCTTGCCAGAGAGGGCACAGCAGTTGCCGCCACGTTTAGTTTGATGTCCTTCTCCAGCACCTCCGCTCAGAGACAGAAGTTCAACATCTGTCGCAAGCGAAAAGAGAGTACCCGTGACTTCTGCAAAGAGCCTAGTGTGTATATATCTACAGTAGAACCCCTCTTAACGACGTGAATTGGTTCCACGAAAGCAGTCGTTAAGTGATGTGGTCGTTAAGCGAGTACAGGAGAAGCGTATTATTAAATAATACAAATTACAATTCCTTATAGGGGAAACCCATACTAATTAACTGATTACTAACGTAGCATATAATTACAATAACACACATTACAACTCATTACTAATCATAACAATTGACTGATTACCAGTCTATTATATAATTACAATACCCCCCCACCCCGCCTGAAATCGTCGCACCTGATGAGTTAAATGATGACGTCACCCCGCTGCTGCTCTATTTAAGACCGGGAGCAAGTGGAGGGCTTCACCATTCTGGCGAATTGCCCGATGATGCTGGATGTAATTACCAGCGAAACGTCGTACTCAAAAAAAGTTGTAAATTATGTCGATTCACTCTTCAACACACCGTTGGGCTAAAGCAGTTAACTATTTGTCTTTTGTCAACGTGACACTTATTTGCTGATTGGCCGTGTCCGGTGGTGGAGGGTTACGACACATTTATAAATAACGCGATCTAACCCAAAAACGTTGATTATGAATCATATTGGTCGCAAAAGCCTGCTACGTGTTAAACTGATAAAGGCTTATTCGTTCCAATAGCATCGAAAGTAACCCTTTTTCACCCAAAAACGTACTTTATGATATTTCAACAATGGATATTAATATATAAAGATATTAATAACATTTTGAGCACATAACATTAAAGGAAACATTGTTAATAAATACATTAATACTTACTGTTCCAACAACAGCCCGTCGTTAACGGGGGAATGGTCGGTAAGCGAACATATTGGGCTCTATGGAGGCCTATCATTAAGCGATTCGTCGTGAACAGGGGTCGTGGCTCAGAGGGCTTCTCCCGTATTAACAGTCTTTGTCACAGCGCAGGAGACATTCATTATTCTTCGCTACTGTGAGAGTACGTTCTACGTTATGCCCCTTCCATAGAGCTGCATATGGTGGATTAAAGGGATGCATGGGGCCCGGGAGAGACGCCAGTTGGCCACCGCTGTATTACGAGTCTCAATGTGAGTCTGTGGGACTCTGTGAGCCTAGAGGTCTCTACGTGAGTATATGGGTATTTGTAAGCGTCTAAGACGAGATAGTTGGAGACTGTCAGGGAAGATCTTCTGTGCAGTAACAGCAGCAGCACAATTTCTCGTAGGGTAGCCAGCATTGGTGGCGATGACGTCTCGGTCTTCATGCACCCGTTGTCTAATCATCATCATCATCACGATCTATTGGCAGATGGCCCGTACGTGTCCACTGCACATTTCTTCTTCTTCTGTCGCCCCAGACCCTCCCTCCTTTTCATCCAGGCTTGGGACTGGTCTCAGACATCCACTGAATTGTGGACCCCCCGATGTGGAGTTACCTCATTCCTCTTCAACCCACCCCCTTCCCCCAAAACTCCGCAGCAACGAAGACCTGGATCCCGACTTCTTCCGCGGCATTCCCAAGTCGAGCTCCGAGTGGAACGGGCAGGAGCATTCATCGGCGATCCGGGACCCCTTCCTACTGAGTTGGGCTCCGCCGGGACCTCCTCCCGCCCCCCTCGGTCCGTCCTTTCAACCTGCCCGTGCGCCGGGGGGCGGCAAAATATCCAGCGGCGCCGGTGGCCACCGACAGGAGACGGCCTCGCGGAGACCCCAGCGACAGCACCACCAACACCGCCATCATCGTCAGCAGCATCACCAACGGCAGCAGCAGCAGCAGCATCGTCGGGAGAAGAAACGGCGGAGGCAGCAGCAGCAGCTGCTGCGAAAGAAGCAGCAGAGGAAATTCAGCGACCTGTGGGTGCGGTTGTACGACAGGTGAGGAGTCCCGTTCAGGACGTTGGTTAGGGACACGTGACGGGTGGCGTAGAGGCCGGAGACGGTGGGATAAAGACCTATATCGATAAGACCTGTATCCCACCGCGAAGATCCTGGGATCCAATCCAGGCTTGGTCCACCTGTGATTAAACCGGGTTCTCAAGTGCATCGAGGTGATGGTCTCAGGCCTGCCATTAGTTATTTTATTTTTCTTCCAATTCCATTCCGATGACGTACATGTACACATACGCATGTTCTGATGACGTATACGCACGTGAGTGTACGTCATCGGAACATTAAATAACGTGTATGTACGTCACGCAATGGTAAAGTGGCGATTGTCTCTACCCCCCCTCCACTTCCCTCCATCCCTCACTCCGCAACCGCACCACCCCTTGATTTCCTCTCTGTCTCTGTCTCGCTCTCTCCCAGCACCGCCAGTCCCCCCCCGGGGATGCTCGCCGCACTCCCGAGCGACGAGCCGCCGCTGTTGCCGGTGTCGCCGCTCACCCCGCGGGGTCATTGCACCGCCCGGCACCGAGGAGGAGCGCACGGAGCAGCACCGCCCACGCCCGCCGTGGTCGTCGCTGCGTCCCGGTCGCTGCCCGACCAACGAGTCCGCACCCTCGGCCTGCTCGCCTCGACGAGCCTGCCCCTCGCCTGGACACTTTTGCTGTATTGATAATAATGAGAGTCGTAGTTGGTGGTAGTGGTAGTAAACAAAGCCACACTGCCCACAAGCCACAAGCTTTCAGGTTTTCCGAATTAGTTATGGAGAAGCTAAAGGTGCAGCCCCTGCAATTGCTCACTCACGTCACTGCTGGTGGGTGGGGAGGGGGGGGGTCTTCACTTGAGGGAGCGCAAGAGAGGCTGGGACCTAAACCATCACACGGACTCCGGTGGTCATCCTCGCAGCAGCAGCAGCGGCGGCAGCGGTAGCTTTCGGCTGGCCATCGAGCAAAGACGGTCACTGCATCGCGCGCTTTCAGATGCCCTTCTGCGGCCGTCTGGAACGCTCTTCCTTCGGATATTAGGAAGCCACTGGAGCTATGCAACTTTTAAATCATCATCCAGATTGAAAATGAATTTCTTTAGAACTGCTTTTTGTGCTTAGTTTGTTGTCCTTCCCCCGCACCTCAGATGAGCACGGTTGGCTACGTACGGTGCGAAAGAAGTTCAACAAACACACGAAGTTCAACAACATGCATACTCTAGCAGGATTTTGGTTTACTCTTCCATGTTGGCCAGACGTGTTGGAAGATGTGGGCGAACCAAAACGTGTTCTCACCACCACTGGCGACCTGCATGGCTGGCTTGCGTACGGTGCAAAAGAAGTTCAACATACGGTACATACTACATGGACTTGTTTTGACTCTTTTGTAGGGTTTGTCACCTTTAAAGGTACAACAACAAAAACAACAACGAACGTGGGCCACATCACGGCAAAACGAAAAATATCTCGTAATAGCGGAAGACGGAGCACTGCCTGCATTGTCTTGAGTGGTTCATTGTGTTGAGTGGTTCATTGTTCTGAGAGGTCCATTGTCTTGAGAGGTCCATTGTCTTGAGAGGTTCATTGTCTTGAGAGGTTCATTGTTCTGAGTGGTGCATTGTTCTGAGTGGTTCATTGTGTTGAGTGGTGTATTGCTGCTGTTATTATTATTCTTATTATCGCGCTACTGTCAAAACCGGAACTCGTATTGTGCTGGCAAGACTGACGGATATTCGAGGACAGCTGCTAACCTCATCGACAGGAGGACGATCACTGGGAATAAAACCAGGAGAGGGTGGGCGACCTCTGCTCGTCACATGGCTCGCGCCGTCTTGGACTTCGTCGTTTTTCCCGAGACGCGTTTTTTACTTTCTGAAGGGCACGTAGATCGACACGGTTTGTAGATCGACACGGTTTGTTGCTGTTGTTGTTGTTCCGTCGAATTGAGAGGCGGGCTTTAGAGACACGGCGACGATGGCATCCCAATAATAACCGGAACAACGCTTCTCAGGCGATGGTCCAGAGCAGCCGTCGCCGCGAATGTAAATACGACGGCCTGCACGTTGCGTTCCCGGAGAACAACGTGTGGTGGACACAACGATGGCGTTATAAATGAGTAATATATAATGTGGGGAGGGGGGGGGCGGTGAAAGCGCAGACCCGCGATGACACGTGAGATGCGTACCCAGGCGACGGAGCTCCGTTCGCTCGGTCGCGTCCTATCCAATTGGTGTCCGCGTTACGACAAAAACTAAAACGTTTTCCCTTTGATACCTTCATTGCGTCGTAGCCAATTGGCGTCGTGAAAACCACGACGCGCGTATTCGGAGAGCAGTCTCTAGCGTGCCGTGGACTGACGAATGGATAAAGGCGCAGCCCTGCAAGTGCTTTGCTCGCGCCACTGCTGGCTCTCGAGAGCCACGATTGTCGAGGCCGTTTTTGGCCTACTCTTCCGTACCGGCCAGATGACTCGGAAGACGCCACCGAACTATTAGGAGGCGGAGCATCCAGTCCACCAACGCTGACCGGACCGTGGGATTTTGAGAAAACGTTCAACCACTGCCTCAACTGCCCGTGCGGGAAGGATAAAGGCGTTTTAAACACAACTGGAATGGAAGTTTAGTGCTGCCCGCTGGTGCGATTTCAACTTGTAAGAGGCCGAGAACGACTCAGATGCCTGGCACACCCCTTGATGACACGCTTGTCAATATGCAAACAAGAAAATACAGCCCCCTTATTAAACCACTGCTGGATGGCGGCCTGCCTCCCCTGTGCAACGTCCGTAGTTGGGGGGGGGGGGGTTGTTTGACGGGACTTTACCAGTGCGGGACCATTTGAGATGTCGCTCGCCACGGGAGTCGGCTGTGGCTTCGAAAACCGCCGCGCCACCGCACCGCCCTTTGTTAGGATGCGGATCATCTGAAATCCCCGTGGAAGACAGTCATCAATCGTGGACATTCTCGAGACAATTTTGTTTTTGTAACGCTGGGCAAAGGTGGGTGGGCAAGGGTGGGGGTGGGGGGGATTTAAAGATCCTTGACCATTTAACGGCCGAGAAATGTGATAGAAGATGGAACCTCTGCATCGCAAGTCCGGTACGCGCGAAGAATCGTTACGCCAATGCAGCATACGCAGCGGTTATTGTTGTTTGTTGTTGGTGTTCGTTTTTGTCAGTTCGCACCGCTGGAGAAAAAAGCCCCCCCAATTCTCTCCCAACCTCTGAATCTCCACCCCCCCGCCCCCTCCAGCCGCTTTCGTTCACTCAGTGATGTATTTTTTTAATACAATTTTTAACCACGCAAGGCCCCCACTGAGCGACGTTCGATCTCCGTTGTCACGAAGCGACCCTAGCTCTCACCAACGATAACTCGGCCAAGTGGCCGATCATCGCGTGTGCGGAAATGTACAGCAGCCGGAAAAAAAAAGAACCACTCCGAGCAGCAGCCAAATGTCTCCCGCTGTCTTCCTTCCGCTCCACCTCGGCTTCTCTCGGTTTCCACTCGGCAGTTAATTTTCTGTCTCTCGTCAGCTGTTCCCGTGACGCGTTCCGCCCCATTACCGCCCGATTTCCTTTGCCGCAACTGCAGCGGCATCACCGTTGACCTCCTGCTCTTTCCATTTGTGTGGGGTTTTTTTTCATTTCTTAAACCCATCTTCTGCGATGCATTCCCAACACAAAAGTCAAAACGATGCCCCGCTCGAATAGACAAGCAGATAAACAACATCTCCTTCCCACGTATTTTGTCTCAACCCGTGAGAAGTAAAGCGTGTATTTTGAACGTAACCCATCGGCCTCACGGCTGCCCCGTGGGAGTGCGTCATTTCAACGGCACCGACTCAGCCACGAGCAACGAGGCAACGTTTACAGGCCCGAGGTAGCGGTGGAAATTCCACATTCCTATGACGGGCGGGCGGGCACGAGGGGGGTGTGTGAGTCCCGCCGTAGGACAACCACTGCTCACTTCTCCACAAATTCGGTACTCATTTGATCAACCTTGGACGGATGTTGGGCTGAGTCAACTCCCTGCCAGGATTTGAACTCGCAACCTTCTGACTGTGAGCCGCGCTCCGCTGCAGCGGAGAGCCACAGATAAATAGGGGGCGTCACGGTGGCAAGATGTTAACTACCTCGCCTGGTACACGGGAGGTCGTGGGTTCGAACCCAAAACCTGACGCCTGCTGTATATTTGGAGTTTGCGTCTCTCTTTCTCTCATCATCAGGGTGTCGAGATGTTAACTTCCTCGCCTGGTATACAGGAGGTCGTGGGTTCGAACCCAATCCTGACGCCTGCTGTATATTTGGAGTTTACGTCTCTCTTTCTCTCTTATCATCACGGTGTCGAGATGTTAACTACCTCGCCTGGTACACAGGAGGTCGTGGGTTCGAACCAAATCCTACCGCCTGCTGTATATTTGGAGTTTGCGTCTCTTTCTCTCATCATCATCATCATCAGGGTGTCGAGATGTTAACTTCCTCGCCTGGTACACAGGAGGTCATGGGTTCGAACCCAATCCTGCCGCCTGCTGCTGTATATGTGGAGTTTTCGTCTCTTTTTCTCCCCGTGGTGGTCGCGTGGATTTTTTTCCTCCGGGCTCCTCCGGGGTTTTCCACCTCCCACATTTGAAATCGACAGCGCGCATTGTAAGAGCAATTTGGCTGCCGCGAATGTCCACGAAGCCGACGCTGTCATTTCTGATAGGTCGCTTCTGACAAAAGAGGTTTCGGAGCTCAGTTGGGGGCCTTACTTGGTAAAAAAATATAACTTGGCAACACAACCTGTGAAGTGTCGGACGAACCAACCGGTGCATTTTTTGTTTTGGCTGAGCGCTGGCTGCCTTGTCAAGCTGCGAGCGCGAGTTGCGAGCGGCGAGGGTGCGTGCCAGCCCGACGTGCTGCGAACGAGCCGGGGTCACGAGGGCTCGGGGTCTTTTGTTCGTGCGGGTTTCAACGCTTTGTTGCAGAGAGAGAGAGAGAGGGAACGGCTGACCTTACTTCACAACGACCCCCCCCCCCCCACTGCTCCTCCCCCACCCCCCACCATGCATCCCTCCCCCCACGTCTCCCCCCCCCCATGTCCCCCCCCATTACGTCCCCCACCACGTTTCCCCCCCCCCAACGTCTCCCCCCCTTCACGTCTCCCCCCCCCCAGGTCTCCTCCCCCCACGCCACGTCTTCTTCCTCCCCACCCACGTCTCCTCTTCCCCCCCCGCAGCTCCCCTCCCGACCATGTCTCCCCCCCCCCACATCTCCACCCACCCCACCACGTCTCCTCCCCCCCCCACCACAACGTCTCCCTCCCCACGTCTCCCCCCCCCCACAACGTCTCCCCCCCCCCACGTCTCCTCCCCCTCCGCTACGTCTCCCCTCTCCCCCACCCCACGTCTCCTCCCCCGGCTCTCACAGGGAGGGAGACGCGGAGCGGTCACAGAGTGGCGCCTTTTCATTCGAGATGAGAGAGAACGACGCATTGTTGTGAATTCTATCGGGAGCCAGCGGTGGCCCACGCTTAAGGCGTGAGCGGGAAGAAAAAAAACACCACAAGCCGAAGGCTCGAAGGCCCCCAAGAAGGCCGAAGGGGGAGCTGGGATCCATGGACAACAACAACAACAGCAGCAACAACAACAAGACTGAATGAAAAAAACATCTCAGGTCACTCTTGCTCATGAGACTCGCATTCCTGTCTCCCTTGAGTCCTCGCCTGGTTCAATGACATCAAAGATGATGGGTTCCAGAACCGAATAATTGTAACGAGTTGATTGACGTGGCAAGACAATTGATATATTTCGTCCCGATGTTGTCTTGCGTCCGTTATTTCGTCTCACTCCGTCTCTACGCTTCTCTACGATTATCTTGTCTCTTGTCCATGTTTTCTTTCGTCACCAGCCTATCGGGAATTTAAAGATGAAAGACCGCGTTTTGATATAAGTCGGCTAAATGACTACACTTATATAAATACATAAAATATGTCTGCTTATTCACTGTGTCCTAAATACGTATATTGATGAAAAGGGTGGGGATGTGTAAATATTTGTGCTGGTCTTAAGTTGGATATATATTTTAAAGTAAATATATGTGTTTAGCCATTAAACCACATTTTCGGTTGTCTTTTTTTCTTGTAATAAGAGGACTTGTTTGAGTGAAAACAGCACGTTTAAATGTCCATGGCTCACAGGTAAGTCAGTCTAAAGAGACCAGTCTGTCCGCCTGTGGTCTAGAGGCCCCATCAGAGGCCAGTCTGTCAGTGTTGTACAAACACTCCAGCAGGTTCACCGGTTGCAGCAGATGGAATTGGCTCACAGCAGGGAGAGTGCACTTCAAGGCTGCCGCGCTGCTGAATGCTGCTGCTGCTGCTACGCTGGCAGAGAGTGGCGGTATCGCAACGAGAGGGCCCTCCAACCCGCTCTCACGGTGCCCAAGTGCGTGGGTGCGTGTGTGGGTGGGTGGGTGGCTTCACGCGGTCCTTACCATCATCATCATCATCCGAGCACGGACATTAATTTGCATTCGTAAACATGTTTTTCTTCCCTCCTGCTCCGCTTCTGCCTCTTTTTTTGCCTTGAAGCCACGGCGGCTCAACCGTTCTGCGAATGTTTACAACTCTCTCGGAAGCATTTATTGGCGTACGCGCTCCGTAAAACAAATAAACATAATGCGTTTACTAAGGGAGAGAGAAAAAAGAAAGCTTAAAACAGACACACTGGTGCACTTGTGCATGTTTAAGCTCTTAAAGTAGTTTAAAAAAAATACATATCACAGTTGCTGAACGCAGCCCCTTCTACCCCCCCATCCCCTCCAAAATATCTCAAACGCCGAACGGCCAGCAACAAGGAGCACCATTAAAGTTGAGTTCGTTGGTGTTTTGTATTGAGTAGGCTTCTACGTATTTGTGGAACAGAGACGGATTGGTGGCGATGGGAGGAGAGAATTCCAAGGTGGAGCATTACGAGGGCAGATGCAGACAGAGAAGTTAGGTGAGGTGCAGTGTAGGGGGGTGGCTGGGTGAGTGAGTGCATCGGTGAGTGGATGGGTGGGTGAGTGCATCATTGTGGGGAGCGGTGGCGCAGTTGTTAGCGCCCTGCACCACGAACCCGGCGACCCGGGTTTGATTTCTCAACACCAATGACGATAATCTGAACCGGTCCTGGGCCTCCCCTAGGTAAACTCAGCATAAAACAAGTACCTGCTGCGCTGTATGAAAATCACCACTAGGGAGACAACGGCGGTGAGGCGTGGTGCTGGCCACCCACCCTCTTGTGAACCATGCCGGCCTTCATTACGTGTTACTTGCTAATATCACTTGTCCCAACGTTCTGTTAAGACTATACGGGGTATCTTTGTCTTTGTGTATCGTTGTAGCGTGCAGTGTTGTTGGTGGTGGTTGAACAGAATGTGGACGAGACGAAACATTCAGTGTCGGGTAGATTGAATCCTCAACATGGGTGCAGGAATCGACGAGTGAAAAGCAACCGCTGTAGAAGCGATAAGAGAGCGACGGAGGAGACGAGTGAGCGTGCTGCAAAAGCAAAGGACGGTCAGATGATGCAGCATTCGAAAATCAATCAGTGAAGATAATTCAGTGAGGTTGCAGCTTGGAACGTCGCGAGGAAGAACCCAGTGGCGTAGTGGCTACATTCTCAGCTCAGCAATCGGTCAGATGGGGCCCCCCAATATTTGATTTGTCTCGCGCGGCCACGCGCTATGTCTTATTACACTGGTCAACTAAAAAAAAAACTTTTTTTTCTGGCCTGGACTTTTGCAGCTGTTTTAGACTAATTTCAGGGTGCTGATTCCAAATCTGATCTCAGATTTGCTCTATCACATCTCATTTTATGCTATCCGCATACCCCGTTTTCATTGATTTTACCCGAAATTAACTCTATCACTTATGATTGCAAGTTGTTGCGAGTCAGTGACTGCTTTAGTGTTAAAATATGGTGCTGTATTTTAGGACAGTGCGTTTATAATATCATTTTATGTAGATATCCACATGTATGAAATTTTTTCTTCTGCAGTTTTTATTGAGCATGCAATATTAGATATCTCAAAAACCTGATGTGATAGACAAAAACCGATGCCAGATTTGGAATCGGCACCCCAAAATTACCTTTAAAACCGTTGGAATACCTTGTGCCAGAAAAAGTGTGTTGACCAGTGTTACAAATCGCGGCTCCTCTTGCCCTCATCGCATCGTCGTCGTTACGCTCACGGTCTCGAACATGTAACGCTGTAGGGGGCGCTCCGTCTTGCAGCAGCTACAGCTCCGTAGTTGCCCCCCGTTGCGACATTACGTTACCGGCGCTAATAGAATTAAAATGAAACGTGGAACGTGAACGAAAGCATTTCCATAAGAAAATTAACAGCGTTTTAAATACGTGTTTTTTACACTGTTGTTGAAAACAAATCTCATGGTGGTTGTCAAGGTGGGGGGGGGGGGCAACTCGTATGTATGACCCCGGGGGGGAAAGGGGGGGCAAGGCACCCCCTGCCGGCCCCCCACGCTCGTTACGCTGCTGGAGCTCAAGGGAATGGAACGCATCCTGGTGGGCGTCTCGCTGTGCGAGGAGACGGAGCAATGGAATCTGCTCCACCGCGGTTCTCGACGTGGACAATCGTGGCGGCTGGAGGGGCAAGGGATTGTGGATGGGCAGGATGGAGGGGGGGGGCCTTCATCCAGCAGTGGATTCAATCAGTGCCGGATTATCCTAGTAGCAAAAGTAGCTACATGTGTAGTATATATGTAGTAGCTACTTCCACCAGCGTACATATGTAGTAGCTACTACACGTGTAGTTGCTACACGTGTAGTAGCTACGGGCCCCGCACTTTCAAGGGTCCCGCGCTGAATAATTTCTAAACTTTCAATTCCGGTTCAGTGATTCTGCACTTGCTCTATTACGATAGTACTATACCGCCTTCAACTTTTATGAACGACTGGTTGTTTAATGTTATCGATTTGTCGTATTATCTGGGCTGTATAGCAATTGAAAAAAAATGCAATTACTTTACGATGCAAGTAAAAAAATGTGTTTTAATATTTTCGTGTTTTATTTTATTTTATTTAGGACCCCTTTATAACATTTGCTACAGGCCCCGCATTTGCTTCATCGGGCGCTGGATTCAACACGAAGTGCCGATGATGTCAAAGTGAAGCAGATTTGCGTTTCGCCCATAAAAACCGGGATCGTCAATTCCGCCGGGCGTAGAGTTTGTGTATTTTTTCAACGGGAGCAGCTATTTACGACAGGAACTGCGCAAATTAACGTTCGCAAATTCATAACGTAAACATGCGATCGCGTGCCACGACAGCCAACCGGTTTAGAAGGCTGGGAGCGAGCCGGGCGTTGGGTCGGAAATTGGCCGAGAAATTCCGACAACCCCGCAGCGCCTGGAGATCGCGCGCCGCCTGGCGGAGACATTGGGAGAGTGCGAGGCGGTGGGAGGAATCGGAATCTTTATTAATTGTGGAGGAATCCGAAGCGCTATGAAGATCTTCACACATTTGACCACCACCACCACCACCATCAGCACCCACCACCACCAACCACCACCACCCACCACCACCCACCACCTACCACCCACCACCACAACGCCACCACCACCACCCACCACCACAACGCCACCACCACCACCCACCACCACAACGCCACCCACCAGCACCACCCACCAGCACCACCCACCAGCACCACCCACCACCCACCACCCACCACCACCACCACCACCCACCACCACCCACCACCACAACACCACCCACCAGCACCACCCACCAGCACCACCCACCAGCACCACCCACCACCACCCACCACCACCACCCACCACCACCACCACCACCCACCACCACCCACCACCCACCACCCACCACCACCCACCACCACCACCCACCACCACCACGACCCACTACCCACCACCACCCACCACCACAACGCCACCACCACCACCCACCACCCACCACCACCCACCACCACCACCTACCACCCACCACCACAACGCCACCACCACCATCCACCCACCACCACCCACCACCACCTTCCCGGAGAGTCGGGCAGAGGTATTGGGGACGAATGAGTGGCGTCTATTCGGAGTGTGAGCTCAGAAACACTCGTGCCCCCCCGCGTGTTACGTAACGCGTTCCACCAGCGTTTGCCTTCGGAAGTCTTTAATGACACGAACGGAAGTCGCGACCCACACGCAATGCTCTTCACGAACATTAGAAGCACACTACATAAACACTTCATACACAAACGACATACACATTACATACACACAACATACTCACACATGACATACGTACGACATTCACATTGCGCCCTGTGGTTCACAAATCGCCCTGTGTTTGAGAATGCTCTCCAGGCTAGCCGTTCTATGCAGTCCCCGTAAACCCTCAATTCCCACGTGACGTGCCACCGCTTGGCTGCTGCTGCTGCTGCATGGAGGCAATGTAGAACTTCTTTCGCAACGTACGTAGCCAGCCGTGCTAATCGGAGGTGCTGCTGCTGCTGCCGCTGCCTTTCCGCTCCTCTATGGCTCGTCGTCCTCTCTCTGGAGGAGAGCGAGCGAATAAGGGGCCGTCCATAAATGACGTCACGCGAGTTTGTACGATTTTTGACCCCCCCCCTCGTCACACGGCGTCACAAAGTCAGACCCCCCCCTCAAATATGACGTCACAAAGCTCTGCCCCCCCCCCCAAATAAATAAAACATGCTTCAAATCGCTTTAAACTATTGTCATTGTAGTGCGTATTTAATGTGCCGCTGCACTCTGATGTTGTAGGAGAAAACATTTATTGTAAAGTCTATTTAATTAAGTAGAACGTGTTGTCTATATTTATTTAAAGTTGCGCATTTTGATGTGACGTCACATTTCTCAACCCCTCCCCCCCTCGCCACACATCGTCACAAATGTCTGATCCCGCCCCCCCCCTAGGTGCGTGACGTCATTTATGGACGGCCCCTAACCGTCCGGCGAGCGACGTGTTACAGACTTGTAATCATTCAAGGCACGCCTCAATCAGCGCGACCCCCCGTAGAACATCGATTCGTTAAAGCGCTCTTTGTCCCGGATATTTTTTTTTTTACAAATTAAAAAATATATATACATAATCAACGTTTTTGGGTTTAGATCGCGTTATTTATAAATGTGTCGTAACCCTCCACCACCCGACACGGCCAATCAGTAAAAAAGTGTCACGTTGACAAAAGACAAATAGTTCACTGCTTTAGCCCATCGGTGTGTTGAAGCGCGAAACCACAACATTTACAATTTGAGTAGTACTGTGACGTTTCGCTGGTAATTGCATCCAGCATCATCGGGCAATTCGCCAGAATGGTGAGGCTCTGTTGTGTCTCCCGTTCTTGGTCGCGAAAGCCTACGTGTTAAAAATATATATACATTTATTACCATACTCTTTGGTTCTTTCGGTAAAGTCACGTCAGTAGAAATAAAATAAAATAAATCACTACCAGACATTTATTACCGGTGAGAACACGTGGTGGTACTGGACAAGGAAATGTTCCCGCCCACGTAATTTGCTCAGCCAATGAGAACGACGCACGCTCTCAGCCAATCAGACCCCACCAACCCATTATTCACTCAGCCAATGAGAACGACGCACGCTCTCAGCCAATCAGACCCCACCCCCATCATCCGCTCAGCCAATTAAAACGACGCACGCTCTCAGCCAACCAGACCCCACCAACCCATTATTCACTCAGCCAATGAGAACGACGCACTCTCTCAGCCAATCAGACCCCACCCCCCATCATTCGCTCAGCCAATGAGAACGACGCCTCTTTCCAGCCAAAGAGACCCCGCCCACTACAATTCAGTCACCACGAATCGTGGTGACAAGTCAATTAAATATTGATGTAAAGCTTTCGTGACTGCAGGATCCCATTCTCTTTGGTTCTTTCGGTAAAGTCACGTAGGTAGAATTAAAATAAGACAAATTAAACATTTTCCCAAGTTTTCTTTTATTTCTACCTGCGTGACTGTACCGAAAGAACCAAAGAAGTCGATTAAAATTGATTTCTTTCGCCAGGCGAGAAATCACGCGGACATTTAGACCGCGAGGGCCTCGCCAACACCACCACCACCACGGAGCCTGATCTCTGAGAATGACGCAGATTGGGAGCGCGCCAGCCCCTCCAACCTCCTCTACCACCGCTGCCTTTGAGTACAGTACATAACACAGTACATAGTATGAGTACAGTACATTGTATGATGTTATAATACATTATTGACAATTTATTTTTTATTAAACTAAACTTTTTATTTTAACCACACGGCGTTACAAAAAGTCAGACCCCCCAAATATGACGTCACAAAGCTCTGCCCCCCCCCCTCAAATAAAATATGCCTCAAATCGCTTTAAACTATTGTCATTGTAGTGCGTATTTAATGTGGCGCTGCACTCTGATGTAAAATAAAACATTTATTAAAAAGTCTAATTAAGTAGAACGTGTTGACTATTTTAATTAAAAGTTGCGAATTTTGATGTGACGTCACATTTTTCAAACGTGTTTAAAAAAAGTATTTTTTTATATTACTTATTTGATTTGTTTTCTTAACGAAATGTTTATCGCCTGCATTATTAGAGCCATTAACGATACCCCAACGAAGGCCTCATATATTGCTTGTAGGAAATAAATTACTCGGTGGGGAACGCATCCCCATATATACAATGGTATAATGACCCCTTTTTGCGCCGATTCGATTTTTTTTCTGCTTGCGCTTAGTCACATAAAGATGTTTTCTTGTTCATGTTTTTGTTTTTTGTTTGTTGCGGTTGCACCCGATTTAAGAGCCGAATGGCTCACAGGGCTATAGCTAATAAATGAAAACTTCAAACGAAATGAAAACTTCAAGATTAGCGCCGCTCGCTAAAACGTACCTTGAGCGCTAAGCATGGTCTTGCCTGTATTGTGGTCACTTGTGAAGAAGCCTTTAGCTCTCACTGGCCGACAGCATAGCCAAGTGGTCTCTCTCACCGTTGCATGCTGGCGTTTGACAACATTGTCATTAGGTGGCAATGTTCAGCCGATGGTTTTTGTTGTTGCAGAAAACAACTTAGAAATGTATGCAGATTTCACAAAGGGCTTTGCAAACTCTCAAATGCCCCGATGGGGGAGACGTTCGGCTGGAGACGGAGCGATGAGACCGATGACCGAACTTTGCACAAACGCGAACATGGGGGAGAAAATGGGGGCCCGATATCTCAGTGGGTAAAACAATGAAATCCACGCTCGGGTCATAAAATCGTATTATTTAAGACATGTGGTGGTCCACGATACACAACACTACACATTTACGAAGCGTTTCATTGCCCTGTGGTCTGCAATGCAATGCGGTACAGTACTGTGGCGTTAGTGGTGAGAAGTAGTGGTGACCGCAAGAAGGGACCTGGGAGCGATTCCTGATTCTGATCCATTTCTGCGTGCACTTTGTATGTTTTATTCCTGTTCTGCGAGTGTGTGTGGAGTTCATGTTTTCTGGGTTCTTCGGTTTTCTGCCACAGCACGCCGTGGTGCTACAGCGGCACGCACGTTGCCCGAGCGTCTTCCGAGCACGCGCCGATCGAGAAGTGCTCATCGTCCCAGCAAGCGTCGCGTCCCCTGTAAGTCGCGGTGGCTAGGAGATGTTAACTCCCTCGACAGGTATGTAGGAGGTCGTGGGTTCGATCCCGACCCTGACGCCTGCTGTATATTTGGAGTTTGTGTCTCTCTGTCTCTACCCACGGTCACGTGGATTTTTTCCGCCGGTTATTCTCTCCCACATTTACAATCAGCATCACGCGTAATAATAGGTTTTTTACCCTTTTTTCTGGCAACAAAACTGACACCTTTTTTGAAGGAATCATGTTTGCATTAACCACAATACCTGCGGTCAAAATGCAAAAAAAACCACAACTCTGATAATGTATGCATTGTCCTTGAAATTGATTGGTCCAAACCCGAGACAGCTTTTCTTAGAGCCCAGTCTCACATGGTGTTGGACCAGATGACGCCAAAAGGCGCACAACTCAAGAAACAATGCACCATCAGAGTATGAGTGCTCGGGGTAAGAAAAAAGGGTAAAACACCTATTATTATATTTTGCTACTGGCAAAGGAGGCCTTATGATGTTAAAGCATCACGCGTTTGATTAGGCTGCTCGAAATGTCCTCGTGATGACGCGAGGACATGGCCAGGTCACTTCTGAAAAAAAGAGCTACATAGCTCAGTGGGGCGTTCACCTGGTAAAATAAGTACAAAAATGAAAACAGTTTGGAGTCTTGGCCGCCGTGATGGTGATCACCTGCTCATCATTTCACCGGCTCGATGGCCTCGCTTCCCGGCATCTCCCCGCTCGCTCGCCGACAGCGTGCAGCCGATGAAAGGGCGGCGATCTGAGATTTGGGTTCTCCGTAGAGTAATAACAATGACGACGATGAAAATGATATCTAATGCGCGCACGTTTTTGCTAAGGGAAATCGAGAACTCGGGAAGGCGTGAGGCAGTTGAGAGTCACTCAGTTGCTCTGTCCAGGAGTTGGTGAAATTGCAGGTACACCACTCACCCATCCACTCACTCACACACCCATGGCCATTCACTCACCCACTCACTAATCTACCTACTAACTTACCTACCCATTTATTCACCTATTCATCCACTCACTCGCTCACTCACTCACTCACCCATTCACACACACCCCTTACTTATTCACCCACCCATATATTCACTCACTCATCTACCCACTAACTCACCGACCCATTTATTCACCTACTCATTCACCCATCCACTCACTCGCTCACTCACTCGCTCACTCACCCATGGCCATTCACTCACCCACTCACTAATCTACCCACTAACTCACCTACCCATTTATTCACCTACTCATTCACCCATCCACTCATCACCCCCCCCCCCCGTCCTCACGCGACGCTCGCGCTCGGCCGCCACGGCCCGGCGGGTGAGCTGGCCCCCCCGCCGCCCACGGGGCTCGCGGAGTCGCTGTACGATCGGCTGTACATGGCTCCGGACCTCCGCCCCCTCGGCCCGCGTCCCCCGTCGTCGCCGGCGCTGCTGCCCCCGGCGCCATCTCCGCCGACCGCGGCGCCTCCGGCCCCTTCCTCGCCGGCGCCGTCGTCCCAGCAGCGGCACCAGCGCCGCCACCAGCGCCGTCGCCGGTGCCGCCAGCGCCGGCCGATCAGCGGCGTCGCCTCGAGCAGCCGCAGCAGGGCCCGGCGCAGCTCGCGGCTGCCCAGAGCGCACACCGCGGGGTTGAGCGCCGACTGCAGCAGCGCCGGCAGCAGGAACCAGCGCTCCTTGAGCAGCAGCGGGCAGCGCTGGGCGCTGCCGCACGCCGCGTCCATCACGAAGAGCACGAAGAGCGGCGCCCAGCACGCCGTGAAGACGCACAGCACCGCCGAGACGGTGCGCAGCAGGGACAGCGAGCGCAGGCCCGACGAGCGGCGCTGACGCTGCTGCTGCTGCTGCAGGTGCTGCTGCTGCTGGTGGTGCTGCTGTTGCTGCTGCTGTTGCTGCTGCTGTTGCTGCTGCTGGTGGTGGTGCTGCTGCTGGTCCTGTTGCTGCTGCTGCAGGTGCTGCTGTTGCTGCTGCTGGTGCTGCTGTTGGTCCTGTTGCTGCTGCTGGTCCTGTTGCTGCTGCTGGTGCTGTTGCTGCTGCTGTTGCTGCTGCTGCTCTTGCTGCAGCTGTTGCTTCTGGTGCTGCTGCAGGTGCTGCTGGTGCTGTTGCAGGCGCTGCTGATGCTGCTGCAGGCGCTGCTGGTGCTGCTGCTGCAGGTGTTGATGGTGCTGAGGAGCCGGAGGAGATGGCGGCGCAGGTGGAGAAATGGTGGAGAAGTCGCCAGCCGCTGGTTGAGGAGGTGGCGATGGTTGTGGTGTCGTCGTCCGGACTGCGAGTGCGCGCGGTGTATCCTCAGCATATCGCAGGAGTTTTGTGGTGCCCTCCCGTGCTGTCCTACAACGTCTGGAGCCACGACCACCACCACGAGCAGCACCATCCCCAGCACGACCATCACCACCAGCAGCACTACAACCACCAGCACGACCAACACCACCAGCGGCACCATCCCCAACACGACCATCACCACCACCACCACCAGCACTACAACCACCAGCACGACCACCACCACCAGCACGACCATCACCACCAGCACTACATCCACCAGCACGACCAACAACACCAGCGGCACCATCCCCAACACGACCATCACCACTACCACCAGCACTACAACCACCAGCACGACCGCCACCACCAGCTGCACCATTCCCAACACGACCATCACCACTACCAGCACCACATCCACCAGCATGACCATCACCACCACCAGCACCACATCCACCAGCACGAACAACACCACCAGCGGCACCACCTCCAGCACGACCACCACCAGCGGCATAACGACCACCAGCATCGGCATAGCAACCACCACCACCACTTGCCCAACCTCCAGCACGGCCAACACCAGCACCACGACCACACGTAGCAGCATAGCCACCAGCACCACGACCACACGTAGCAGCATAACCACCAGCACCAGCAGTAGCAGCATAACGACCACCAGCACGACCACAACCGCCACCGCCAGCACCACCAACACGACCACCACCAACACCACCACTATCACGAGCAGCACGACCACCACCGACACCACCACTATTACTAGCAGCACGACCATCACCACTATCACTAGCAGCGCGACCACAACCAACGCCAGCACGACCACCACCGACACCACCATGACCACCACCACCACCACTTTCACTAGCAGCACGACCACTAACACCAGCACGACCACCACCGACACCACCGCTGTCACTAGCAGCATGATCATCATGATCATGATCATCAGCAGCAGATTTGGCAGCAGCAGGAGTCGTAGACGACGACGCGGCGACGTCGCTGCATTTCCGCCAGCGCCTGAGCTCGGGCTGCTCCTTTAGCGAAGCGTTCCGGACGCGACAGAGCGGCGGAGGAAGAGGAGCAGCAGCAGCAGCAGCAGTCGGTGCCGGCAAAGGAGCTTGGTGGTGGTGATGTCCCCCGGGGGAAGGAGCCCCTGGGCCGCTCACCCCGTTGGCGGCACCCCAGCGCCTCCCAGACAACCTCTCGGCGTCGCAGCTCCTCGTGGAGGCGCGGGCGCTGCCCTCCCTCATCAACAACATCCCCCGCCAGTGCTCCACCCCCCCTCCCCCTACCTCCCTCACCGCCGCGACCACCACCGCCACCGCCGCTCCTCCGATACCTCCTCGTCCGCTGCCGCCGCCTCGTCCACCGCCGCCGCGGCCGTCGCTTGCCAGTTCCGACCTGGGGTGGAGCTCTCTCCTGGTGGCGCGTCGCGCCAGGCGGGCCCTCACCCTGCAGTAGATGCGCGCGTACAGCCCCGCGATGGCCACGAGCGCCGCGGTGAGCAGCGAGCCGCAGAACAGCAGGTAGGAGCGCGCGTGCAGGGGCAGCACGGCGGAGCACGTGGGCAGCGCTCCCAGGCAGTTCCAGCCCATCGAGGGCAGCGCGCCGAGCAGCAGCGCCAGGGCCCAGCACGCCGCCGGGGCCAGGAGCGACGCGGGCCCGCCAGCGGCCTTGCCGCCGGAGGCCGCGGGCGGCAAGGACGAGGGCCTGAGGCGCGCCATGGTGACGTGGCGCTCGAGCGCGACGGCGAGCAGCGTGAAGACGGAGGCCGCCAGCGCCACCAGGACGCTGCCCTCGCGCGCGAACCACAGCGCCGGCGTGAGGCCCCGCGGGGTCGCGCCGCCCGACAGGAGCACGTTGGCGCAGAAGGTGGCGCCGGCGAGCAGGTCGCAGAGGGCGAGGTTGGCGAGGAGGGCGAAGGCCGGCGTGTGCAGGCGGCGGCGCGACGCGATCGACGCCAGCACCAGCGAGTTGGCGGCGACCACGAGGCCGCAGACGGCGAGCAGCAGGGCCCCCGCCGCGCCGAGGCCCCGTGAGGAAGCCGGCCGGCTCAGCTTGCCCGTGTAGTTGTAGTGCACGCGCACCAGGCCCGCATCCCAGTAGGGGCCCGCGTCCGCCATTTTGTTGAGTCTGCGCGGGATAAGGGTGGAGGAGGAGGGGGGGGTTATGGGAAGTTGCCGTCATTGCTGTGATTTCACGGTGGCAGTGGTGGTGGTGTCGGTGGTAGTGGTGGCGGTGGTGGTGTCAGTGTCTGGCAAAAAGCAACCCCATATCTCCTCGGTGGTCCTGGACAGTAGCGCTGTGGTGGATGTGAGCAATGCCATGGAGGAAAGGCCAGTTCGAATCGGCTATAGCCCTCATGGTGCTTATAGCCACCGTAGCGGGCCAAATGGGCGCTCTGGATGGGCACAAAGGGCTGGTAACCCTCCACCTTCAAGTTAACTACCTCTAAACTACGTGGAAAAATGTACTAAGCTTGTGCCGGTGGCACCGGGGGGACAGGCTTCTATGACGTCTCCTGGAGAAACCCCATTGGGCGGAGCCAGGAGACTGAATCCCTACCCTCAGAGCTCCTTCAGAAATGATAAAATGCCACTGTGAGTGGCTACGTGGAATGTTAGAATGCTTACTGCAGAGGAGAGGCTGCCACTCCTTTGTCGGGAGCTGGACTGGTACTGTCTGGATCTCTGCAGGATCCAGGGGGTCTGGTGGACTGATGAGGATTGGTGGTGGTGGTTACTTATGGCCCCAGGAATGCAGGCAAGGCCGATGAGTTAGATGCCTTCTATGACCTGTCACAGGTGCTAGCTAAAGTGGCCCCTCGGGAGAGAGTTATCCTGTTGGGTGACTTTAATTCCCAAGTGGGTCATGATGTTGGCACCTGGACTTGAGTGATTGGAAGGCATGGAGCAGATCAGCTCAATAACAAGGGTAGGATGCTGCTATACTTCTGTGCAACCTATGGGCTTGTAATCACCAACACGCTGTTCCATCATTGGCGCATTTACACAACATCATGGATGCACGCCGGGTCCAAGTAAGAACATCTGCTGGACTATGTAGTGATGGAACAGCAGATGCGGGCCCATGTCTTTGACAGCAGGACCTACCATGGAGCTGATTTGCCCACTGACCATCGGCTTGTTATCTGTAAGATGCCATTCTGTACCGTCCATTCTTCCACTTCAGTGGTGGGTGTCAATATAGGACCCCAATCAAATCCACAGTGGCATTTTCTCAGCTGATGAAAGTTTCAATAGAGAATTGCATTGCCACTTGCAGCTTGTGTTGGCATTATACCCCCCTCCCCCTGATGCCAAGGATAAATGGGCAAGGTTTAGGATTGTGGCTCATGCAGCTCCAATGGCTGCTTTGGGTACATGGTCCAGACCTCCCCAGATATCCTGGCTGATGGAGGAGGTGTTCAGGCTGGCTGAGAAAAAGCGACAGGCCCACTCATCGTTTACAGCATCGCACGTCAGAGAATGAGGAGGCTTACCGCAGCCTTCGCTCAGAGGTTCGGAGATCCTTGCAGCACTGCAAGGATTAGTGGTGGTCGCGGGTTACTGAGGAGATGGAGTCTTCCTCAGTAGCCCGCGATCGCAAATCTTTAACACCAACAAAAAGTAACTTGCAGGGCCACACATATCACCATCCTTATTGGAATTAAGTGTGAGCCGATCTCCAACTCTCAGGAACAGATTTGTAGATTTGCTGAGCATTTCTGTGAGATCTTGGAGGAGGGGAAATCCCTCAGCCTGGAAAACATCATGGGTCGCGGATGACCCTGCTGAGGCTGCCATGCCTCAAATATTTGAAAAAGTTGTCACCCCCCGTGAGTGGCTGGCTGAAGTACCATCTGTTGAGGAAGTACAGAAGGCGATCCAGTCTTAGACCAGGAAAAGCGCTGGGCAGAGATGACCTCTAAACAAAATGCTGAGGGAGGGTGGAATTTGTGTGCAGACTGCCCGATACGATATCATAGCGGTCTGGACCACTGGATGGGTTCCGCAAGATTGGGAGGATACCCTGGTGACTGTAACAACTACAGGACAGGGGCATCTCCCTCAGTGTGCCGGGAAAGGTCCTGGCAAGATTTTTCAGCATCGCCTTGCCAGGCATGCTGAGAAGAGGCTTGCGGAGCCCCAATGTGGTTTCGACCAGGGCAAATGGTGGTTGTTGTTGTCGGTGGTGGTGGTGATGTTGGTGGTGGTCATGTCGGTGCTGGCGGTGGTGGCGACGGTGGTGGTGCGGGTTTGTGGTGTTAGTGGTGATGTCGAAGGTTGCAGTGGTGGTGTTCGTGGTTGCAGCTCATGGTGGGGGTGATTTTGACATTTGTGGTGATATTGGTGGTATATTTGGAAGCTTGCTTGCGTTGACAGTGTGGTCGTTTCCTGAAACTTGCTCATATATTTAAAATTTTCATCTCTCATCTCACCACTCCACTATCTCCTGTTTACATCTCTCATCTCACCACTCCACTATCTCCTGTTTACATCTCATCTCACCACTCCACTATCTCCTGTTTACATCTCTCTCATCTCACTACTCCACTATCTCCTGTTTACATCTCTCATCTCACTACTTCACTATCTCTTGTTTACATCTCTCATCTCACCACTCCACTATCTCCTGTTTACATCTCTCATCTCACCACTCCACTATCTCCTGTTTACATCCCTCATCTCACCACTCCACTATCTCCTGTTTACATCTCTCATCTCACCACTCCACTATCTCCTGTTTACATCTCCCCCATCTCACCACTCCACTATCTCCTGTTTACATCTCTCATCTTACCACTCCACTATCTCCTGTTTACATCTCTCATCTCACTACTCCACTATCTCCTGTTTACATCTCTCTCATCTCACCACTCCACTATCTCCTGTTTACATCTTCCTCGTCTCACCACTCCACTATCTCCTGTTTACATCTCTCTCATCTCACCACTCCACTATCTCCTGTTTACATCTCTCATCTCACCACTCCACTATCTCCTGTTTACATCCCTCATCTCACCACTCCACTATCTCCTGTTTACATCTCTCATCTCACCACTCCACTATCTCCTGTTTACATCCCTCATCTCACCACTCCACTATCTCCTGTTTACATCTCTCATCTCACCACTCCACTATCTCCTGTTTACATCCCTCATCTCACCACTCCACTATCTCCTGTTTACATCCCTCATCTCACCACTCCACTATCTCCTGTTTACATCTCTCATCTCACCACTCCACTATCTCCTGTTTACATCTCTCTCATCTCACCACTTCACTATCTCCTGTTTACATCTCTCATCTCACCACTCCACTATCTCCTGTTTACATCTTCCTCGTCTCACCACTCCACTATCTTCTGTTTACATCTATCATCTCACTACTCCACTATCTCCTGTTGACATCTCCATCATCTCACCACTCCACTATCTCCTGTGTACATCTCCCCCATCTCACCACTCCACTATCTCCTGTTTACATCTCTCATCTCACCACTCCACTATCTCCTGTTTACATCTCCCATCTCACCACTCCACTATCTCCTGTTTACATCTCTCATATCACCACTCCACTATCTCCTGTTTAAATCTCTCCCATCTCACCACTCCACTATCTCCTGTTTACATCTCTCATCTCACCACTCCACTATCTCCTGTTTATATCTCCCATCTCACCACTCCACTATCTCCTGTTTACATCTCATCTCACCACTCCACTATCTCCTGTTTACATCTCTCTCATCTCACCACTCCACTATCTCCTGTTTACATCTCTCATCTCACCACTCCACTATCTCCTGTTTACATCTCTCATCTCACCACTCCACTATCTCCTGTTTACATCTCCCATCTCACCGCTCCACTATCTCCTCTTTACATCTCCCATCTCACCACTCCACTATCTCCTGTTTACATCTCTCATCTCACCACTCCACTATCTCCTGTTTACATCTCTCTCATCTCACCACTCCACTATCTCCTGTTTACATCTCTCTCATCTCACCACTCCACTATCTCCTGTTTACATCTCTCTCATCTCACCACTCCACTATCTCCTGTTTACATCTTCCTCATCTCACTACTCCACTATCTCCTGTTTGCATCTCTCTCATCTCACCACTCCACTATCTCCTGTTCACATCTCTCTCATCTCATCACTCCACTATCTCCTGTTTACATCTCTCATCTCACCACTCCACTATCTCCTGTTTACATCTCTCATCTCACCACTCCACTATCTCTTGTTTACATCTCCCTAATCTCACCACTCCACTATCTCCTGTTTACATCCCTCATCTCACCACTCCACTATCTCCTGTTTACATCTCTCAACTCACCACTCCACTATCTCCTGTTTAGATCTCTCATCTCACCACTCCACTATCTCCTGTTTACATCTCTCTCATCTCACCACTCCACTATCTCCTGTTTACATCTCTCAACTCACCACTCCACTATCTCCTGTTTACATCTCCCATCTCACTACTCCACTATCTCCTGTTTACATCCCTCATCTCACCACTCCACTATCTCCTGTTTACATCTCTCATCTCACCACTCCACTATCTCCTGTTTACATCTCTCATCTCACCACTCCACTATCTCCTGTTTACATCTCCCATCTCACTACTCACTATCTCCTGTTTACATCTCTCATCTCACCACTCCACTATCTCCTGTTTACATCCCTCATCTCACCACTCCACTATCTCCTTTTTACATCTCTCATCTCACCACTCCACTATCTCCTGTTTACATCTCCCATCTCACCACTCCACTATCTCCTGTTTACATCTCTCATCTCACCACTCCACTATCTCCTGTTTACATCTCCCTAATCTCACCACTCCACTATCTCCTGTTTACATATCCCATCTCACCGCTCCACTATCTCCTGTTTACATCTCTCTCATCTCACCACTCCACTATCTCCTGTTTACATCTCTCATCTCACCACTCCACTATCTCCTGTTTAAATCTCTCATCTCACCACTCCACTATCTCCTGTTTACATCTCTCTCATCTCACCACTCCACTATCTCCTGTTTACATCTCTCATCTCACCACTCCACTATCTCCTGTTTACATCTCTCAACTCACCACTCCACTATCTCCTGTTTACATCTCTCATCTCACCACTCCACTATCTCTTGTCTACATCTCTCATCTCACCACTCCACTATCTCCTGTTTACATCTTTCATCTCACCACTCCACTATCTCCTGTTTACATCTTCATCATCTCACCACTCCACTATCTCCTGTTTACATCTCCCATCTCACCACTCCACTATCTCCTGTTTACATCTCTCTCATCTCACTACATCTCCTCTGCCCATCTCGCCAGGAATGTCGACATTTAAGTCCCCAGTGATTGACCACCACCACTGGGCATAGGGGACCCTTACAAAGATAAAGACGCCCCGTATAGTCCACATATACCGTCGGGGGCAGGTGCTCTTTGAGAACACCTATTAAGGCTCACACGGCGCCACACGACCACGCCCGGCCGCCTTTGTCTCCCCAATTTTCACACACCGCACCTCGGACAGTCCCAGAACCGGTTCGGACAATTGTCCGGAATGTTGACCGTGTGCGGGAATCAAACTCGAGTGACCGGGCGACTTAATCTCGCAAATATCGTTGCCCGGTGCAGAACCCACGTACGCACTCAATGCGGTAAGTCCTTGTTTAACGCGGGAGTGCAGTGGATGCATTCCTGAAAAAATTGCGCGTGCAGAGAAAAAAAACTGCATTAAGCGAAAAAAATTTCGCTCCGAATAATGTAACAATGAAGTCTGGTGAGATACGACGTAGTGCTACTACTTGTACACACGCACGCACACGCCGTGAGAGGGTAAGCCGCCCTGTTACCGTATCATTCCGCGTTGCTCTACTCGTAGTGCTCAGCGCAGCTCAAGAAAGTAGTTCCTTGTCGATGGCTCAGACACCGCGTAGTGACGGGGCACGCGTTACGCGTTGTAACGGCGTGCGTTGTGCGAAGTAGTTCTCTCGTGGGAGAACCGCATTACAGCGGAAACGCATCGTACTTTTATTTTTTTTGGGTAAAGTCACGTAGGTAAAAAAATCAAATTAAAATGAAAACAACTCAATTAAAGCACGACGTTTCGGAAGCAACGCAAGCCTCCGTCTTCAGGTGGAACCGCCACGGCAAAATTGCTGTAGTGATAAAGATAGCTGTTTAGAGAACCGTGATCATATAGGGTAAGAGGGGGGGAGGAGCCAAGGAGTCGGAGGGGGGGGGATTAGCTGATTAATAGTTAAGATAAGGGTAAGTGTAAGAGAAGTGACACATCATTGGGGAGCGGATATTAGGGAGGGTGAGTGTGGGGGCGGGGTGTGGGCTGGGAGGTGCGGCATGGAGTTCAAACTGAAGTTTTATGATGCAGGGGGCGGAAGTTGAGGTGGTTGATAAGAAAGATAAGTTAAGCTGATTAATGACATCCTTTGTTATGCTGTACGGGAGTAAATTAGAGTTGCTAGGGAGCTAAGCTTGCACGCTCGAAACAACGAGCGGCAAATTTCCAAGTGATGAGAGTAAGCAGGGCTTGGAGTCAAATGTCTTAGTGATGGTGGTGTGTCAAGCTGGGAGTAAAAGGCTGGGAATATGGGACATTCTGTCTACAGGAAGGCCACCCACACAGATTCTTATCTGAAGCATGATCCCCACCACCATCCCGCACAAAAGAATTCCCTCATCAAAACACTACACCATAGGGCCCACTGCATCTCTGACCAACACCACCTGGCCAGTGAATTAGAACATGTACACCTGGCCCTCAAGATTAATGGATACTCGGACCGTACTATCCGCCAAGCTGTTTCTCCTACCGTGGAGAAACAACCCCCTGAGACTTCGATCAAAATCATTACGTTGCCGTACACAGCAGGCGTTACCAAAAAGATTTCCAAAATTCTAAACAAACACAAGATCCAGGTACAATTCAGTACAGTACACAAAATCCGTGATCTGATCCCATCCGTAAAGGATGTCATTCCTGACTTACAGTACCCTGGTGTCTACAAACTGAGTTGCATCTGTGGTGGTTGTTATATCGGGGAAACGAAACGACATATTTCTGACCACATTCGCGAGCACAAGTCCGATTTGAAACACGGTAGGATGAATTCTTCGGCCGTAGCTGACGACTGTTACAACACTGCGGGTTCTCATGATATTGTTTTCTCCGATACCAAAGTACTCTGCAAGCCTCCTGGTTACTACCAAAGATTTGTCCATGAAGCCATCCAGATATACAAACATAGACATAACTTAAACCGAGAGGATGGATTCAAATTAAACAATCATTGCAAGGATGTCATTAACCAAGTTAAACTTTAGCAGCTAGTTTATATTCATATCCATATTCCCAGCCTTTTACTCCCAGCTTTACACACCACCATCACTAAGAAATTTGACTCCAAGCCCTGCTTATTCTCATCACTTGGAAATTTGCCGCTCGTTGTTTCGAGCGTGCAAGCTTAGCTCCCTAGCAACTCTAATTTACTCCTCTGCAGCATAACAAAGGATGCCATTAATCGGCTTAACTTCGCTTTCTTATCAACCAGCTCAACTCCCGCCCCCTGCATCATAAAGCTTCAGTTTGAACACCATGCCGCACCTCCCAGCCCACACCCCACCCCCACGCTCACCCTCCCTAATATCCGCACCCCAATGTTGTGTCTGCCCAGGCTACCTCACTTCTCTTACACTTACTCTTATCTTAACTATTAATTAGCTAATCCCCCCCCCCTTGACTCCTTGGCTCCTCCCCCCCTCTTACCCTATATGATCACGGTTCTCTAAACAGCTCTCTTTATCACTACAGCAATTTTTCTGTGGCGGTTCCACCTGAAGACGGAGGCTTGTGTTGCTTCCGAAACGTCGTGATTTAATTTAGTTGTTTTCATTTTAATTTATTTTATTTTTCACCTACGTGACTTTACCGAAAAAACAAAAAGTATGGATCCTTGTAATCACGAAAACTTCAAATCTAAAACGAAAACGCATTGCAGCGTGAACACCGCCACGCGTTTATAAGCGAACAATCACCGTAACAACCGTCAAATTGTCTATGGAACTGATCAGTGCGTTGTCGAAGGCTCCATTCTGTTTTATCTTTGTGAATGGAAAAGAAAACCGTGGCAATGTCTCCACCAGAGACGATGCGAGTTTCGCCAAGACGATGTTTCCCACCGTTTCATTTTCTCAAGGATGTGAAATAATATATTTTTTCGCGGAGTCTCCCGATCACTGTGGCACAGCAGAGCGAACATCAGAACAGCCTCCAGGAAACCCATCTTGGATTCGGGAAAGATGAAGGTCAAGGACAGGGGCTAGCGAGTGGCGATGCGGCCGCTGCTGCCGCTGTTAAAGCAGTGCCAACTGGGCGGCAAGGGCGTTGGATGAGAACAGCTGATGAGAGACAGAGAGACGAAACTCACGTGCAGAACCCTGGGAGCAAGAGGGCAGGTGGAAGGCAGAGGGGGGGAGATGGCCAGAGAGAGAGAGAGAGGGCAGCAGCAGGATAGGGACGACATCGCAAAGTTTCGGAGGCCGTGCCCGGCTAGGAGCGGCTGCTGGGGGAACGGAGGGAATGGAAGAAAATCCGGGAGGCTTTTGCCCATCAGTGGGAAGTTGCAGACTGTCAACAACAACAACAACGGGATCTGGGCATCAGTGGGAAGTTGCAGACTGTCAACAACAACAACAACGGGATCTGGGCATCAGTGAGAAGTTGCAGCCTGTCAACAACAACAACAACAACGGGATCTGGGCATCAGTGAGAAGTTGCAGACTGTCAACAACAACAACAACAACGGGATCTGGGCATCAGTGAGAAGTTGCAGACTGTCAACAACAACAACAACGAGATATGGCCATCAGTGGGGAGTTGCAGACTGTCAACAACAACAACAACAACGGGATCTGGCCATCAGTGAGAAGTTGCAGTCTGTCAACAACAACAACAACAAGATATGGCCATCAGTGAGAAGTTGCAGACTGTCAACAACAACAACAACGAGATATGGCCATCAGTGGGGAGTTGCAGCCTGTCAACAACAACAACAACGAGATATGGCCATCATTGGGGAGTTGCAGACTGTCAACAACAACAACAACAACGGGATCTGGCCATCAGTGAGAAGTTGCAGTCTGTCAACAACAACAACAACAAGATATGGCCATCAGTGAGAAGTTGCAGACTGTCAACAACAACAACAACGAGATATGGCCATCAGTGGGGAGTTGCAGCCTGTCAACAACAACAACAACGAGATATGGCCATCATTGGGGAGTTGCAGACTGTCAACAACAACAACAACGATATCTGGCCGTGAGAAAGTCTCCCGGATCAAACGAGCACAGCGGTGGGGTTGGGGAATTCATCTCCACCGACGGCCGTGAGCCAAGTGTGGAAATTCCACATTTCTATGGCAAGGGGTGATGGTGGTGGTGGGCTTACTTAGTCTCTCAGTAGCACCACCACCAACAACCTCAACACAACCAACTGACATGCGTCCGGACCGTTAGGTTCTTTCGGTAAAGTCACGTAGGTAAAATAATAAGAATGATAATAAAATAAAATAATAATTAATGAAAAGAACTAAATTAAAGTAGTTTTACTGGAGCAGTTACACCTGATGACGGAGGCTTGTGTTGCTTCCGAAACGTCGAGATTTAATGTAGTTATTTTCATTTATTCTTTTATTATTATTATTATTATTTTTTTACCTACGTGACTTTACCGAAAGAACCTAAGAGTATGAATCCTTGCAGTCACGAAAGCTTCAAATCGAGAATTGACATTCGTTCGGACCGCGAGACGCACCTTACCCGGGATCAAGGCGAGTTTCCGAGTGGGTGCCGAGCAAGCCCGACTGCCAGTGGCCTGGCAATCTTCATGGGCAAAAGCGTGCTGCGTGATGCCACCGCTGCCGCTGCTGCTGTTGCTGCGTCGGTGGTGAGTGAATGGTTGGTGGTGGTGGTGCAGAAGCACGAACAGCAACAAATTCCAACACGACACATTCGTCGTCAATGAGAAAAGGAAACAGGATTTCAAGAGAGACGACGCTTTGGGGCGAAAGGTCCCCGGTTCTGACTTGTGTTCAGCAAGATGCCTTTGCAGACACCGAACGGTTCGGACACTTGATGCGTGCGTAAAAGGGTGCTGTTTAGAAGGGCTTTGGGAATGGTTGGCGGAGTTGGTCGGTGGCGATAGTGTGTGTGACTCTGTGTGTGTGGGCGGGAGGGGAAGTGGGTGGAGAATGACAGAGCGAGAGAGCGGCAGTGTAGCGGTCAGCACGCGCTGCGCTACGAACCCTTTCACCCGAGTTTGAAATCCTGTTCACCGTCACCAACACCGGTGACGACGATCTGAACCGGTCCTGGACATTCCCCTAGGTCGACTCAGCCTTAAATGAGTACCTGATGCAATGCGTAATCATCATCATCACTGGGGGAGACAAAGGCGGCCGGGCGTGGTTCTGGCCACCGTCCACGTGCAAGCTTTCTTCATAGGTGCTCGCCAACAGCATTTGCCCCAAAAGTCTGCGAAGGCTCCACGCAGGGGGGAGAATCTTCGTGTTTTGTTGTTTTCCCGGGAAGAGAAGGCGCGTTGCATGGCTTCACGCGGCAAGGTCACGTGTCCCCAAAATAAATAAATAAATCGAAACGCTTCGGGGATGTTCTCCCTGGAGCCTTGAGCGATGTAAATTGCGCACACGCACACGGCTTGGTAATTAGATTGCTTAGAAGTTATTTTCAAGGGGCGGGTACTTATGTTTGAGCACGATCACTACGTGATTAAAAATAATAATTAATTCCATGTCCACTTTTGCCAGATCATATTAATTTAATCACCCCACCACCATCACCACTAATGAACACTTTAACATCATGTATTACTGCTTCAGTGCGCGCAGCGAGGAATATCGGTAGCATCTACAACCTACACTATTGAACTATTTTTTGTATTTAATTCTAGCAGGTAAAGCCCAATGAGCTAGAAAGCTCTTCACATGAAGGCTCAGCGAAGTGGATTGTGATCACATGGAATTGTTTACAGCAGGCAAATACTCTAAGCACGTGTTTCTCAACGTGGAGGGAAAAACCTGAGGACCCGGAGAAAAATCCACGCGACCACGGGGAGAGCATGCAAACTCGAAATATACAGCAGGATCGAACCCACTACCTCCTGCGTACCAGGCGAGGTAGTTAACATCTCGCCACCGTGGCACCCATACGATGGGTTTGCTTGGTTAAAAGGTGCCAACTCGAAGCCCCTGTAGTTGGATAAAAAAAATATTCGTCAGCATTTCTCACAATGGCACTTCAGGGATGAGCAATTTATCTAACGCCAAAGTCATTTTTGTAACCAAACGGAGATTTCCGCTCTGTCACAGTGTTGAAGAATGGTCAGACGACCGGCTTGGTGAAGTATGATCAAACGACCGAAATGTGAATCTAAGACCTATCGGCTTTTGCGACCAATACATGGATTATTTTGGGAGGTCATATCCGTGCGAGTAAAATGTGTGTCGTTGCACCTTCCTCCACCCGACGGAATTCTGGCAAGTATCCTGATGATGCCAGCGAAGCATCTGTACCCCGTTTAGTGAGGATCGCTCTCCAACACAAAGGGTTGGTGGCAGCTGAAGCAGTATACTTCTTCTTGCGTATGGCTGCTGTTGTAGATGCAGAACAACAGCTACAATTTCACATGCCAGATAACCACATCGGGAGCAAGCCGAGTAGGTGAATCGCTGTGTCGTCTCCTTTGTATTTGTGGATCGGGGCATTGCGTCGTTATTTGTTGTATGAACTGTTCTGGATACTGAAGCAGTAATACATTGGGCCACGTTTTTTCATCACGTGGCAACTTTACAAACTCGCTATTAGCGCTGACTCCAAAAAATATCGAATATGAATTACGATACCTGCCGATACTGCTGAAACTTGCACCGTTTTAACTGCCGCGCCGTCAGATCGAACCAGCAGCCTCTGGATTGCAAGTGCAGTGCGCTGACCATTAACACCGCGGCAGCATCCTTCCAAACCCAACGTACAGTATGTATGAATATAATCGTATTGAAACTGGCCTAAACGTGGCGAGACTACGTTACATTAGCGGCTTGCTTCAAAAGAGTACGCACGCTGCAGGAATCAAACTTGCTGTCCGATCACCTCCTGGTGTTCTCAAGGCGGGGGGGGGGGAAATGTGGCAAGCAGGTGTAGGAGAAAAAAAACCTGACCCCGCAATACGTTAAAGGGATCTTGTGTGTCCTCGCAGACTGCGTTAAATGAAGACAACGAGCGAGACGGCACGAAGCACCGCTTTGTGTACGGGTTCCGTACGGGGTAGGGGGTGGGGTGGAGGGACCACGCAGAGATGGAGCAATTAAATCAGCTCACTGGACTGGCACCGCTGAGATTTCCCCGGGTTGGAATTCTTGAAGGCGTTTGTGATTAAACCGGGTTCATGGTTTCAGTCAAGACACCAGCAACTTAGAGACCGGTCCACTGACCCAGAGACCCATAGACTCACCCGGTCACCAAAATAAATCAATCAATCAATCACTTTCAATTCTGCGCTAAATTTGGCAAAAATGTAAAAATATTCCACCTCTGAGAATTCTCAAGATCGGCTCCACAACCAAACGATGCGCACCCTCCCCTCAGTGGCGGCGAGGCGAGGAGTAAGAACGGTGCTCCACTTGGGATCGAGATTGAAGCACAGGTGACCACTGGTCGGCAGTCGAACCTTAGAATTCTCAGCGGTGGCATCTCGGCGCTTTGACCGCTGGGGCACGTGGCCGCAACTTGGGGTCATTATTTTTTGTTGAAATCGAACGAACATTGATTGCCCTGTTAGGAAACGTCATGAATTGCTGCTGCCAATGCCCTTTCTCTTCGTTGAGTGGAGCTTCTGAAAATAATATCGCTGTCGTGCAGAGAGTTGATAAACAAAAAAAACCACAGCTGCATTAAAGATGACGTGGTACATTTTTCATTTCTGGCCTTCGTCCGGTGACCTTTCACGATGTTTTATTAACCTGCAATTGGTTGCATAATTTCGCAAAAGCAATAAACTTGTTTTTTTTTAATGAACGTGATTAAAAAAAAGAAAACCAATATAAATACAACACGCACACACTAATCCACGCTTGACATTCATAATGAAGTAATGAAGAATAATAATTGACATTGGTAAGGCGCATTTCATCCGCAGATCCAAATGCGCCACTGTGTATGGCAACGTATGTTGAACTTCTTTCGCACCGTACGTAGCCAACCATGCCCGTCGGAGGTGTAGGGAGGAAAGGACAACAAACTAAACGCAAACAGCAGTTCGAAACAAATGAGTTTTCAATCTAAGTACACAGCCAGAACGAGGCGGCGGGTTAAAGGTCAGTTTATGGAGCCGAGTTTCTCAAGGCAGACTTCATTCTAGCGAACGACCCCGTCTTATTACAAAACTCGCAGAGCGTTACAATTGCTTGGGAGCTGCGCGGTTGCTAAACCCCGATCAGCCCAGGAAATTAGCCTTGACCTCGGGACTGCATTTAGCACAAAGTGGTACTAATTTTATCCGCTCGTGGAATGATGGGCCGAGAGTCAAGCCCACTCACTGCGAAACCAGTGCTCGAATTCGCGACCTTTCGACTGCGAGCTGCGCGCACGACCGCGACGTTCCAACGACTCGCTACCCGATCGGCGTTGGCCAAAAGTTTGCATGTTGACTGGAGAGCCACCTGGCAGTGTTTAGAGACGGGGGTTTACAGAAAGGCAAATGGACCGTGGAGTTGGGAGACACAATGTGGTCTAATGGTGAGCGCATGCCTCTCCTTTCTTTTGCTGACTCTAAACTGTTTAAAACTAAACGATTTATTTGACCAGGTAAGGCCCTCTGTGCTATATGTCGCTTTTTTTCAGAAGCGCCCTGGTCACAAATAATAGCTCAATGAAGTGGCTGATCGTCACGTGGAAAGTTATTTCAGCCAAACGCTCTAAAATAGCTGCCAAATACTCGATTTATAAATGTGGAGGGAAAAACCGAAATACCCAAATAAAAATCCACGCGGCCACAGGGAGAGAGGACATGCAGACCCCAAATATACAGCAAGCGTCAGCGCTGGGATTGAACCCACGACTACCCGTGTACCAGGCGAGGTAGTAAACATCTCGCCACCGTGGCGCCCAACTGAGCCAATGGACATTCTCAGGATGAGATTGGCATCGTAATTGCAGGAGGCACATGACCGACCTCCCTTGGGATGGTGTTCAGAGACTGGCCTCGTAGCCTCCCCTCCCTCCCACATTCTTAGCTCTTGTCAACACACACAGTTTGGTTTGTGTGAGTGCGATTAAGTGGGGCAGCAGCGGGGGGCATGGTCAGTAGTGCGCCGTGCTACGAGACCGGCTAACGGAGTTTAATTTCCAACTCGCAGCCAATGTCTTCCACGTTTCACGCGTCTCAATGGGTTTACTTAACTCCCCCTAGTTCAACGAATAGGCCGTTGTTTTCCCTGCACCTCCGATTAGCACGGTTGGCTACATACGGAATGTGTTCAACATACGTGGGTCAAAGAAACCGACGAATTGACTCGTCGTGCTTATCATCGAGGCTGCAGTCAGCTCGCTACACCTAGAAACTTGGGCGGAGATCATCGTGGTGCCGGCTCTGTGTCTGACAGAGTCATTTGGGCGCCGTGATGGCGAGATGTTATCTCTCTCGCCTGGTACACAGGAGGTCGTGGGTCCGATTCAGACCCAGACGACTGAATATTTGGTGGTCGCGTGGATTTGTCTCTGGGTCCTCTGGTTTTTCCCCTCCACGTTCTAGAGTATTTGGCTGCTATATATCTTCACGTGATGATAAGCCACTTCATTGAGATATCATGTGCGATAACCAGGTCAGTTTCTGACAAAATCAACTCACAGCTCAGTGGACGTTACCTGGTCAATTTAGAAAACAATGTCCATAGTGGCTCTCTTAGTCACCTGGCTCACCTCGTGCCAAAGTCGCAGGGCGGCGCAGTGGTCGTTAAAACTCGTGCTGCACGTCAAGAAATGGCATTGCTCTTCGATGCCCCCTACTAGCGCGGCACCATTCTTCGTGGAGTTTTGTTGGTGCTCTCTCTCTCTCGTTCTGTTTGAGTTTTCCCCGAAGGTTCGCCGGTTTTCCTCCTCCCATAGCAAAGCTTTAAAGAAGAAAACGAAGTCG